TTCCCTCACGCGCTCCGCTTTCTCCTTGGCAAGCATAACTGCTTCGCAGAATGATGCGACTGCATCCCAATCCCCCTCGCTCCATGGCCTGAACCAGAGCCGAACGCGAGAGGTCACCGTTTCCTACATCCCTGAGAACACGGCGGTGCTCAGCCCATGCAAGGTACACCGCCACGATATGCTCCACCGTGTTCTCCGGGCGGTCCTCGCATTGATGGCCTCTCTAAAGCCACTTTTAAAGAGGGGACTTTCCGCTGCAATGACAGCGAGCCCAGCCCTCGGTTACCTAAAGGAGTGTTTCGCTGTGTAAGTGAGGTTACCGGAGGCCCAATTACCCCTCCCTCAGCCCCCCCAATCCCTGACAATCCTCAAATTACCAATTCCCAAAAGACCGGTAACGCACTTCTAGCACTTCTGGTGTTACAGGTGTCCATGGGCGGCGCAGATTGCTTACCATCAGGTGATCCGTCTGCTCGTTTACCGGCTTATGCCATAAAAAAACAGCAAACTATCATAGTGAATTTGGCCTTGACGGTCTAAAATGAAAAGGACTAATATTATTTTTTAGCTATGTGCATTTAGCTAGTTTTTTTGATATACATATAAAAAATACGAATTCAAGTAAACTGAAAATATTTTATTCGTGGTTTTATCTCCTTAGACTGCTGTCAACCTCTTTGCATACCTTAATATTAATACCATAGTATAAAAAAAATCTATGACACATTGACTTTGTAAACTCACTTGTCACACAAATCTCAGATGACTTAAGAAATGTAGAGGTATACTAATAATATAAATTTGTATGTGCTTGTTTGTTTGTTTGTCCGTATTTCACGACAGAACGGAGTCAGGAAGGTTTTTGATTTGAGATAGTTGAAAAGATGGAGAGTATCATAGGCTACTTTTTGTCTTTTTCTAACCCCCTTCCACTTCCGTGAAACAGAGGTGAAAGTTTGTATGGGGTATTTTGCAATTTTCAATGTGGAAAGCTAACAATTGGTATGCGGGTTATTTGTGACCAGCATAGAATCGTGCATCATTTCATTTTTTTATTGTAAATCCTTCCCTCACCACATTAAAAGAACGCGAGAGAAGCTGCAGACAGAGGCTAGTCTATGAATAAATTGTATTCAGTCAATTGAATTCGTATTTTGTCTTTAAAATCTCTGATGCAGCTGAATACTAATATTATTCCTTGAAAACCCACAGAACTTCATTTTTATATGTTGATGCCAAAATATATTATGGAAGTAGGACGCCATAACAATTACAAATCATCAGGTTGGTTACCATAGTAATGTTACCTGTCAGATATCCGTTTTCGGGTTTTCAGATAAATCGTAATAAATAATTTGAACTTTATGCAGCGGTAATAAATTACAAATTGACTCTCCATTTTATTTAGAAAACGTTTATATGGGAAATAGAAAAATGCTGTTTTGAGGATTTTTCCGGCAATTATTCGAATTTTTCTCACCTTTTAAACCATCCCTAGACCTCCACGAATAATTCAAGACCAAGATAAGATAAATCCGTTCAGCCGTTCTTGAGTTTTAGCGAGACTAACGTACAGCAATTGATTTATATATATATAGATTGCACATAAACTTTTATTTTCTTTATTTTACTTTTATTTTTGATTTTATTCCTATTTATAATACAATTTAAAAATTTCGAATAATAAAATTCTTCTAAATGCTTAGTATTATTTGTCCTTCATAGTATACTTCATGTCATTGACTCCGCCGCAGACAGAGTACTCCTACGATTGCAGCGTCATCATATCATTATCTTACCTTTCCAGAGTAACTCGATCAAGTCACATCACTCAAAGACGAGCTACTACACAGAAACTATGAAAAACTACTAAATAAACCACGAACTAAGACGATTGATGTATAAATCAAATCAGGTGTATTGTGAGGCCCAGGAGATGAATAAATCTGTGAGTAGCCCGGAGTGTATCGAGCGATATTACCGTTTTGACATTAATTGCTACTGATTTAGACGCCGCGCCGCTAAAATGTACCCCCGGGACTGTCTGTTTGTTGTTCTATAGGATCCGCTTGGTTTGTCTCCGTGATGGATTTGGGGCAAGAATGGTTCCTATCTACGTAATTTGAATGATCCTGAATTTTGGTTACTGTTTCCAATTTTGATCATGTGTTGGTATTGTTTTTGGTTTTGATATATGTTTTCATTTTTAAATTAACACACAAAATTAAAAACTTAAAATAAATCAACAAATAGCAACACGTCAATAAATACATGTTTTCGATCATATTATTTTTATCTAGATATATTTTTATATTTTATATGTAGTTTTATCCCCAATTTATTTATTTACTTTTATAGTATTGTTATTTAGTAATATTGATCATGTATCTTATGTAATTTATATTATACCTAGTCCTATATATATAGATTTATGTATGTATTTACAGTTATGCATAATCATACATTTATTTATATA